GGGAGACGGAATAAAAAGCATTCGAAACCATGTTTCCACAGAAATTCTACTTAGAAGAATCGCCGTGCCAGCTGCAAGCTCAACAAATGACAAAGGAAGGAATTTTTCTTTGCCTACTTTATTTCCCAAATACGAACTATTTTGTGATTTATTATTAGCTTAGAACACATTGTTATTTCAACAAAATAGAAATTATTAATCTTTTTACTAATACAAGAAATCCGTTGAACGAAAAGTTAATTTCAACTCCACAAAGGCAACAGAGACAATGACCTACAATTCTCGTGTCTGTTAATGACGCTTTATTAATCCACTTCATTTCCCTCTTGCACAACCAATCACCATTAATACATACAAAAACGGTCTCGAGGTCCTCGAGCATTCCTCGACAATTAATTCCATCAACAATCTAATTACAAGCTCAAATAACAACGCATACGAACTGTAAACTTATATACGTTTTACCTTTTCCTTTTCTCTGCAAAGCGACCTGCCAAACTATCCACTAGCCCGTTACAAACTGAGTTCCCATTTTTCGTCACGAACTCCCATAAATCGACCCTCTACCTACGGTGGAAGGGAAGAAAGAGGGTCTACAAAACGAGGAGGGTTGATCGGTCTCTACAAGCTTTACCCAAAGTAAGAATAAAGATGGATTCACTAAATCTTGTATAACAGAACGTGGCGTATCAAGAGTGTGAATGAACAAATAAAAACTTGTATGCATAATCTCTTATATCAAATTTCAATGCTTCAAAACCGTACACGTTATCATGAATTCAATTCTGGTTTACAATTTATATCTGTATTAGAATAATTCATGATTTACTATGACTTATGTTCAACGATGGAAATCTTGCTTGTTGATAATGATATACACAGGCGATGTGATAAAATGGTATGACACAACTGTAGGAGAAGAGAATTTATGGGAACTCAGACACCGTTTTTCGAGCTTTTGCATTTCACAAAACAGGCCTGTGGCTCGCTAACGAAGGGAAAAGAGGGCGAAAAAGCAAAAGGGGACGTCGCCACGGCCCTGTACCCTTGAAGCTGAAGGTTGCCACCGCACAGCAGAGAAACAGCCTTCCTTCTTCCCGTACCTCTTCCCTCTCCAGCCCTGACGTGTCTGCCTTTGTGCACAGGCTTTATTTCATCGCGCACCGGACATCGATTGGCCTCGACTCTCTCGTCGCAATATAATAATAGCGTTTGAAACCGATTTCCCGACACGAGACACTCGCCAGATAGACGGATCGCTATTCAACTTCCGGGTAAAAGAAGAAATGGAGCAATAAAATCGCCGTTGTGCGACCGTTACCTATTCTGCGAATTGTTTTCTATCAGGTCGCGAACGTCTTCTAGAAATTCATCCCCAATATTCAAATAATTTCATTTTTCAATCCATATTTTCTCGATAACTTTAAGATAATTTACGACATATCTAGCTGTTGTATTTCTTTTCTACACACCTTCGATTCTTTCATACTTTCGTCATCGTGTCAATGTTAGTTACTCCTTCCCACATCGATGACAATTATCCCGTCCTTCACGTTCCGAGTAAACGTAAAATTAGAGAGCGCTAACCAGATTTACTCAAGCATTTTACGCTTCGGGGCTCGTTAAAATGTGTACAAATTGTTACAGGAGAATCGTCCCGCGACGTAACTGTCCGCGATTACGATGATCGATCGAAGGTTGTTTCGCTTTTGTCTCTGCGTGTGCTTCACGAGGAGAAAGGAGAATGATCGACGAGACAGTACATATTGTCTCCAAGGACTAAGTTTTTAAATCAATATAAATACCCTCTTTGAATTAAAATCTAATTACATGTCTGATAATACTAAAAGAGGCCGACCGCGTGATATTAAAGAGGAAGGAAGAAAGGGTGAGATTACGTAAAGTGTACTGCACGCAAGGGGAAGCGGTGTTCTCGCATGATTAATTGATAGCGATTAGGCGAGCAAGAATTTGAAAGTTCCAACGAGAGAACTTAAATTTAATGGAGCGCTGACGACGGTGTTGAGAAGTCGTTGAGAGCGGGTGAGATCGACACGATTTCAAAGAAACATCGTTCTATTTCGGTGCAATTCATTACCTTGGGCAGAGATATTTTCAGAGTTTCCCGAGACGCGAGAAAATAATTATATGTCCAAAGAAAAGTTTCCAAGAGGCGGAAAGCGAGACTCCAGAAATCGGAGGGTGCGATCAATACCAGACTAGCGCGGCGCGGAACAGGTGTTTTATTTCAATAAGTATGTGTTGTACTGATTGATTGATATGGACTCCTCGTTGCGAGACCCCGGGCAAAAAAGGAACATGATTATACGCGCGTGCACACGAATATCTCGAGCGTCGTCGCACACAATGATAATGGGACAGCTGGGTATGCGTTAAGGGGACAAAGGACACCGACATGCAAAGCGATTTCTGCCTCTTACTGTGTTGGTAGCGAGAAAATATTGTGACGCAAACGCGATAACGGCGCAACGCAAGGTCGGAGAGCTTTTCCGATTCATCTAAGGCGACAATCAGCGAGCACGTTTTCTGTTAAAACTTTTATGCCAACGACTAGGTACGTCCACGTGAATACCTTGGCTTTATTGCTCGTACACCTATAATTGTAACGTTCACAAACTTCTGGCAAGTACCTGATCCATAATCTTCTAAATATACCTGCGAAAACTACCGATGCCATACTTTTGCAAAATTCGCTATTAAATAATTTCAAATTCTATCTAGAAATGGTCTATTCCAAGTTTATAATAAATCAAGATCGATATTAATAGTACTCCTTATGGATCAAATTACTAAAGATAATTGACTCTTTTATTAGAAGACGTGGCAGAAGTGTTCACTTTCAAGTTATTAACATAGCTTAAAGCAAATTGGCTGTCATTCCGCGACGAATCAGTGTCGAAGGAAATTAAATTAAGCGCTTTATGATGAGGATTGATTGATTCACGGGACAGGACAGTTGTCGGTCGAAGTAATTCAGTTTCTATGATATTGCAACGCGTTATTCCGTTAAACACTGCTCATCGGAAATCGTCCGGAAATTAATACATATTTACAAGCTGAAATATTTTTGCACGCACACGCCCGATTTAAAATCAAAATGGAATAAAGCCACGCTTGAAATTTCATTTCACACATGAACGCGGTTATTACAATTCCTTTTGTGGTTTCGGTACTATTTTAGTATGCGCAGTTTCGCTATCGACATCGTCGAATATAAAAAGATCACAGTAACGCGTTGCCAAATTATAATTTAATTAAAAAGTTTAAATCTGCACAAATGCAAATGTAAATCAAGATGAATACACGTTCAAGTCTTAACGAGACGATGCCCTGTTCTTCACCTCTTTTATGCTATAATAAATAAAAGGAGACATTCTTCTAAAAGTCGCGAGAGTTCATTTTACTCACAATGCCAAGGCTATCGACAGGTGAGGTCCCACATAATCATCGTATGGCCGCATTCATTAAATTGTAATTATAAAGTCGAAGATCTGTTTATAGCCTCGTGATTCATCAGTTTGGCCGATAGCGTTACGGCGTGCAGGAAGTGTAATGAGTAATAGTCTCCATCGAGAGGAGGTCTATCCGTGGAACTACCGAAGTGGTACGCCCATTTGCCGACCCGTACCCAACGACTCCCGGCGATTGTTTAATTCGCTACATTCAATTACTAAACGTTTCGTGCGCCCCGACACTGTTTCTCCCCACCTTCTGTCCGTCTGGCCAAATGAAATACATGTGTGCACATACGTACACGTTACAATAGAGGCCTTCAGCGAACGCTGCCTCCCGCGAGATAAACGAACGCTCGGGCACAAACAAATAAATTCTAACCGTCGACAGTTTAGAATACAAGGCGATATTGTGCTAGCGATGGGATACGAGCCACGACCATGCCGGACTGGTATAGAAAGCCTCATTGCCAGTTCTGTCACGATTCGATCGTACACGAGCATAAATATGTGGCAACGAACGACTGTTTAACCGTACCGCTGTACTGATGGCTGAATTTTACCCCGGATGACGAACGAATACCAAAATTAATCGAGAACAATAATTTTCTGTTAATCGCGGGCGTAGAAAAATCGATCGTGTAGGCTAGTTATATCGTTCACCTTATATCAACGAGAAAGATGGAACAAAAGTTTAATAACTCGCCTTCATTTTATACACGTTTGCTCTCATTTTCATCAACGTTATATTTCAAGCAGAATAGCGAACAACGTATATTTTCTCGCGGGCAAGTGTATGCCGAGTACCGTTCGTGCAGCAAAGAATTTTTAGAAATGCATAGCGCGCAACAAGAGGAAAAGAGAGAAAGACCGGAAGATAGAGCCGCTGTAAACGTCTCTACGTTTGAATTCCATCGACTCATATTCACGGTCAAACGTTTCACTATAAAGGCAGATTGTCGAACCGTGACGGAGCCCGCATCGTACTCGGAAGGTCGGCTTAACGTAAAAAGGTGTATTAACCTTGACGTCTTTTCCTTCGCCATGCAAGCGACTTGACCAAGAACTTTCAAACTAATAATGACACCGGGCAACCGTACGCATCGCACACGAAACAACGCGACAACGACTATGTAAATACAACCGCTGTGGAGCGGTATAAATCTCTTAAATCAGTTGACTATAGTTACGGCAGGGATGGGTCGTTGACCAGTGCGCACTCTACGCCAGATACCGGCATCCCCGGCAGAATGTACTTCAAAACAAAAGGGACGTCCGTATCACCGGGAAAGACTATTTTCCCCGAAAAGGATATGAATCGTTATATCTTTTCGGAAATCTGTCTACGCAAAATGTCGTTGACAAGGATCGAAAGAATTATTAGCTTAACGTTGACATCGGTCGTCGACGTGTCGGATCAATACAGACACTTAATAACATTGAGAACGAAAAAAGGAAAACAAATAAGCATTCGAAGCAAAGACCCACCCTAATTGGAGTGGGTACATATCGTTGGAGAGTACGTACCGCGCCAGCGCCATCCTGACATGAGATAATCCAGGTCCCGTAGGTGTCGAGAGCAAGGTATCCAGGTCTGGAAAAAATGCTTTGTCGCCGGCACTAAATCCCACTGGACACATGCGCGTATATTCTTCGTCCTCGAACACACGAGCTTGTCATAACTCCCGGCCCTGGCTTCAAGGAGCCCCTTCTCCCTTAATTTCGTTCACTTCGATTTTCTCGAGTAAACTCGTGGCGTCCTCGCGCCTACCAAAACGAAGTCAGGGATTCCCTTATTCTCCCTGTCTCTGGTTTGTTCCACTGTCACTACCGCATTTTCACTGCCGTGTCTGTAGCGGCACCGCAAAAAAACGACAAAGGCCTTCGCGACGTTCGAGTCAATCACGGTCGGGGACAGTTAACGTGTAACGACGAATTCTACGTGCACGAATAAGCGAACACGAGCACGACAGTGGCGTGTGCGGGAGGTCACGATCGTAACAAGAGAGAATACTCGGTCTGCCAGCTGACTAAAATTAATATTAACGTGTGCGCGTGATTATGGGAGCGACTAGAACGCCGAGAGCTGTTACGCCTGCTCGGGATACAGTTCGCCAGTCACTATCCCAACTCCGATCACGGCGCTGGCTCGACTGAACTCGGCTACTGAGCGTCCGTCAGTCCCCACCCCTATGACCGCGGCCTCGTATACCTTCGTCCCTTCTCGGCGTCGTTCGTGACCGATTCGCCTGTGTTCGTGCTTTTCCGCGACCTCGTGTCGTGCTAGAACCGATGGTTCACCGCCGCGCCGGGCACCCAAGGCTCCCTTCCTACCTCCTGCAGGAAACTCCTCTCCGCTCTCTGCCAGGGAATGCACGTTTTCTGCCATGAGTCGCTCCGAAATTACATGTATGAACTGCACTGTATCAGAAGACGTAACACACCGACGAAAGGTTTCCCTTGCGCACATCTTTTCCCGAGTCACGCTTCTCATTTTGAGCAAACACTGATCTCTTTTCCTCGAGAAATTCGATTTTATAGATCAATTTAAATCAGATGCTTAAAGATACTTGCAAAAGTTCATTTAATATTTTATATTGTAGTCAATGCACGATGCTCTACATAATTCGTTTAACGTTTAACGTGGAACCTCAAGACGAGAGGAATCATAGAACGGAATTATTCATGCCGGTTTCGATGCCACGTACAATACATATACATACCCTGGGTATTCAAATCAGTAATGAAACCCGCGACGTCGTTCACGAATCCACCGGTTATACGAGTATACAATATGTATATCGGTGGAACGTGTGAAAGGTTTTTCGAGCGTGCCGAGTGGTATCGGTGCTTTCATGTCACCGGAAACGGAGAACAAGCCTCTGTTCGTCGAATTACACGAAAAAAGAGGTCACGAAAATGTTTTATGGGTGTTTAAGGTGGTTGTGGTCGGTGTCAATGGGACCGTGACGTCGTGCCGGAATCACGCACGACGATCGTGACATTGTGCACAGTATACTGTGCTCGCGAAAATAATATAACGCCGAGGTCATTCTGTTATTAACAAATTTTTACCACACAAACGTAATTTCCCAAAATTAAATTGCATTCATTTTGAAATACATTTCATGTATCGAAACCTAAATTCCTAAAACTATCTGCTGATTTGCAATGTTCAGACATCGAGAGATGAGACACCGTGAGCGATTTCTCCGGCGTCGAAATTGATCCTTCTATTCGTTTTAATTACTGTGAAAAACGGTTATTACACGATTTTTAGTCGCCGCGAAGAATATTCTATTAACTGCGTTCGTGACTCCGGCAAAATCAGCAGTTTATGCAATCATACACACGGATGCAAGTTTAAGGTTGCACGGATCTCGGCTGGCCGATACGCGTGATGCTAACGTGTCCATTTAGCGTCGCGCCGTGCCTCGAATAACTTTCTCAGAACGTCGACCAACCTGATAATGCGCTACAGCTGATCAAATTGCAAGATACATGCGACAATCAGTTGATAAATTGACTAGGGAAAGAGTTATGGTAGCTCGTTAGAAATCGAAATTCGAATTTCAATGTCATTAAAGATTCAAGCTTTTTTTCGTAAGAAATTTTGGGAATTTTCGGTTAGAGAGAGCGAACGCGAGCTTGGAGTGTTAATAAAGACGGCCCCGGGGCGCAGGGTCCCCTTGACCCCCTTAAAAGACGTCCCTGAGTCTCATTCGCCCCACAGCACGCGAGGAGTGCCGTGTAAACTCTATTATGCTTTCCATTCTTTCTCGTTTTTCCTTTCCACGTCGACACTTCCTCGGTGTCTGCCGTTGCATGTCGTGCCTGCTTCCCTGTCTACGGGGAGTCATAGCGAAAAATGTATGGCGAACGGTCGCTTCGGCCTATGTGTGCGATGTCGGTGAATCGCCGATACTCGGCTCGTCACGCTAATCATTACGGTGCATGTGCATCTCAAAGAGTAACACGGTTGAAGTACGCAAATGTGCAAGAGAAAATAAAGATCTGTCGCAAATGCATAAAAGATTTAAATTAGTTGGATTTCGAGAGCGCCACCTCAAATGTATTGAGTTCAGTAGAACGTAATTGAAGGTAGAAAGAAGTTGCTTAATTGTCCCAGAATTTCGCGAAAGTTGCAGACGAAACTTTACAGACAAAATCGGGCAGGAAGATAAGGCTCGGCGCTGTTACGAACACCTCAGTTATAATTTCTCTGTGAAATTCTCACGAAGTTCAAATACTCGAAGGACTTTCGCAGTATCCGAAACTCTGTGAGGATCGACGTTGAATGCGAACGATACGTCTGATTCGAGTGCAGGCAGCTGCCGTTCTAAAGGAGATACTTTCTTGCCCTCCGTGAGTGGCGTCTGTTCCTTTCAAATCAATTGAATCTCTTGACCAGTTCAAACCGACGAAAGCAAGCTTCTCTTTCATTCCTTTAATCCTTATTTAATCTCGTTGAATGATTTCAAAGGAGTACTCCATATAGTCAAACTGTTTCTTGATATGAGAAAACAGCAAAGTGTATTAATTCCGTTTTTTTTTTCGATATTTTATTACGAATAAAATTTCGTCGAGTTTAAATGCCGAACTTTTAGCAAGCATCTCCTTCATACTATTTTCTAAAGATCATTCGATGTTCATTTGACTTTTACACTAATTTTATAAAATGTTCCGAGGAGAGAGAAGACGCTTGATACAGGTCACTTAACTTTCTCATGGCAACGTGGGCACGAGCCTGTTGCTTGAACTGAATTAATTCGCAGTTACGTCAGTACAGTGGCGAATGATCGTCGGTCTACGCTTCCAAGTACGTTTATTCGGACAGTAACTAACTAATTCTACGGGCAATAGATTTTAGAGCAGCTTCAGTGGACAAAGCATACTCTTGATACGATTATTTTTGCACAGCCAATAATGCTATACGAATCTATCTCTAGACGTTATCTAGAGTGCGGATTTGAGTGGAAAATAAATTATTTAGAATAAAATTTGCATATTAAATATCACTACGTCCGCGTTGCTTCAAATATTTAACAGGTTTACGCAGGTCATTTGCATAGATTCAATTTCATCGTATTTAAATCTTTGATAAATGCGTAACAACTCGCAGTTCAATGATAGCGATGTCATTATAATATGAACCGTTTAACAAACACGAAGGCTGAGAGGCAAGAGGGATTTCAGTTTCGAGATGGAATGGGCTTTCGCTTGTACGGTCCAGCTGTTTCTGTGTCCGCTATAAAAACTGGTGCGTAGCGCTCTGCACGACCTCCCCTTTTTTCTCTCTTTCTTCCCGCTGTAACGTTAATTTACATCTTCTGTCATCTACACGATCGCGCATTTGTTTTTTTTTTTTTATATATACGACAAATGATTTACGAGCCGCGACTTTCATCGTTGCTGAAACACGATGCAAATCGTTCGCTTTTCCTTCTTTTTGTTGTTTCAACTTTAATGGATCTCGACTTGGCGACTGGGTAATTAAATTAACACCGTTTATTTGAAGGCGGTCTCCCGCCAGAAACGACTTTATGCACCGCAAATGAAAATACGAGGTCTTTGCAATTAAATGTAAACAATGACGATATTCTATGTTTCCTGATCTACACCACTATTTGTATCATACTGAAATCAGTTTGAAGACCGGTTTGGAATTTGTGAAGACCCATTTCTAAAATTGTCATCTACAAAAAAACCCATTTACATCTTTTCATTAATTACATTAAATAAGACTAGCAGCCACTTTCAGTAAATTTCTATGGAACGCCAGATACTAGCCCACTGATTCATAAAGGATTATCTTTAAATTGTATTCGGAATTTATGTATCATAAAAACAGCAGAGAGAATTTCTGCACGGGAACTTCGGAAAGGGTTTATTGTTCACTGTTATGATACTGATGGTAGGACGGTTCGCGTGTACGAGACTACGGTCTCCGGATGCATTGAAAACGCAGTGACTCCTTCGTGTCGCTCCGGGCAGTAACAATGCATAATAATGCTCGAATGGGTCGTATGAATTCTGATTCTGGCATCGCTCGCAAACAAGCAGCAACGGGAAGGAGAGGGCAGCTCGACCGAAAAGAGACCAAGAGAATATCCCGTCCGAAAAAAAGAATAGGAGAAAGAGGCGAGGTACGGTGGTTTGCTCGAAGAATACGTGAAATGGAAAACGGAGAAAGTTCACCGGGAGTGGTCGTAAATTTTTGCCAAAAGGATACGCGCTTCGATTGAACGGGAGAGGAAAAGAGGAGGAAGAAGAGGAAGGAGTGGCTGCGTGAAGGATTTCGCAGTTCGCAATTGTGATGCCAGGGCCCGTAATAGTTTCGCAACTCGCATCAGACGTTGCCAATTTCGTTTAACACACTCGGAAGAGGAGACAAATTAATATCTGTCACTAATTTCATCGTACGAAATAAGTAAACGTAACATGAATAACCGACAACTCGATTTGCTAATAAAACGTTTTGAAAAATTATCCTTAAAAATTTGCTAGAAACTTTTACTTTGTTCTATGCCTGAATGTAAAAATTGCCCGTAGCATTGGTGTACATGTGAGCTATAATTTAGAACGAGTCAAACGTGTCCTCCGGTAGCCCGCAACCCCTTCACTTAGTTCTATTTGCACACTTTCGAGCTGCTCTATCGATACCTTTGTATGTACTGGCGAACAGTTGAACGACGAGTGTGAGAAAAAAAACGGTAGCCCGCGTTCCCTGTCCGTGTTTGACCGGTTGTGATATTAAAAAAGTTCCTCCACGTGATTAAACGGAAAAATCCAAACACGAGGGATTCACGTTCGCAAGTTTCCCGCGGTCGGTTTAATGGCGTGCTTGATTCCTTTCAACTACGAGAATAATTACTGTGTACTCTCCATCGTGGAACAGTCCATCGACGGTGGAGTTACAGTAAAGGCGTTTCGAAATGCTGAGTAAACGAGGCGACGGATTTTCGAAAGCAGAGAGGAGAAATTTGTTAAGAACTCATAGATAACTTTCTTCCGTCTGAGTCGTTTTTCGATACAGCAAGAATTGTAGAAATAATAACGGACGTCGGGAGTTTCCGATCGATCGATCAAACGCATTCTAATTCCCTCGTTCGATACACATAATTATACGCCACGTGTAACTCAGATCCTCTCTCTTTTTCCTTACATCAAACAC